GGGAATTCTTTTCCAGGTGGCTCGGACTCAGGGTCAGTCACTGAGCTATATTCCCAAACCTAGAGACAGCTTTTACAGACTGGGTAATCTGATTGTTTAATGAAGTTTGCTTGGCAGCAAAACAGAACAGGGCTGGTGAGATAGCTCAGCAGAATAAAGCACCTGCTTAGGCAAGCGTGGAGACCATGGTTCGATCCCCGGCACCACATACCTGGCCAGCCCTGTCCTCAGGGCAGGCTGAGCTGGCCAGAGTCCAGGTGTAGTGCCACACGCCTGTAATCCCAGCACTGGGCAGGCTGAAAGCAGGAGGATCACTATGAGACCGAGCCGCATAGTGTGACCCTGTAACCATCAATTACATTAAAAAAAAAAAAACAAAAAAACAGAGAACAACCATAAGCAAGGTCAAAATGAAGCAGGAAACCTCAGGAGTTTTAGGAATAAAGAAGAGTGTATTCTGTTGGTGTCTCAGTAAGAGAATAACATCTCTAGAGCCAGCACAAAGCTTTGTTTCTGTTTTGTTAGTGTTTTTTTTTTTCCTATGGGCAGGTTTTCATTGGAAATGAGCACTAAGTGAGGTTACAGAAGCAGAGCAGGGATTGGGAGGGCGAGCAGAGACCAAGAAGAAGGGGGAACTTGCCCAAGCTCTCGGAGTCGCTCTTCGGAGTGGCCGTGCCCGGAAGCTGTGCCCACAGCCAGCAGCATAGCTGGGGTCGTAACCTGCAGTCTCCTCAGGGAGCGCAGCTCTGCGCTTAACCTATAGTTGCCCAGTTCCACCCCAGGAGGTGGTTTCTTCTCAGAAAGACTACTTTTGAGTAGAACTTTTCTCAGGCATTAAAATGTGCTTGAAAGTTGTGGGGACTGAAACACTTTGCCAAACTTGGAGAAAATTTGTATAATATATGGCACAGGGGGGTTAACGTATAAGGAACTTTTAAAGTTGAGGGCAGGTTTGGCCAACCAGCTCAGTGGATTAAAGCACCTGCAAGCAGGGGCCAGGGCTTTGTTCCCTGCGCCTGCCATACTGGCCCCACCCTAGCGGCACGTTGAGACTGCGATCGAGAAGGCATGGTGGCGCACACCTGTAATCCCAGCTTTTGGGAGGCTTTCAGCGGGCAAATCCCCTGAACAACCTGTAGACTCTTTCCTAAAACACAAAAAAAGTTGAGGGGAAAACCAAGTGGGAAAATGGGGAAAAGGCATAGACCAATAATTTATGAAAATAAGAGCTGGAGGTGTAGCTCAGTGGTAGAACATTTGTCTGCTGCACTCGAGGGTTCAGGCGATGCATCAAACACACAATTTTAAGATGACACGAATATCAAAAAGTGCCAGCACACTCATAATTAGAAATGAAAATTAAAACTATATTGAATTCCCTTGGCTCACCCATCAGAGTAGCACAAATTTAAAAATGTGTATTCTGAAAAGGCCATGGGAAGCAGGTGCTTTCAGATACTACCGATGAGACCACGGTGGTACAACTGTGTTCTTGGGGAAGGCTGCGCCTTGCAGTATCGTTTGCAGCTGAAACTACTTGAACTTGCCTGTGTGTAGGCGAGCAGTGAGCACACCGGGGCATCCATGCAGCAGAGTATGCTGCAGCTTGCTGAGTAGGAGGCGGGTGAGCACAGAGGGACCTGCGTGACACAGCAGTGTATGCAGGGTCCTGAAATACATGCTCACTGTGTAAGAAAGAAGCTGAGACTTTCATCTGCAAGTTGTCATTTTGCAAAAATGGACCTTGACCCTTCAGATATGTTCCTTTGCCAACTGTGCCAGTGAAGGTAGATGGAGAGCCCCTGCAGTGCAGGCAGGACATTGCGTCCGCATCTGACATACTGGCTCCAGTCACTGCCCTGCGGTCTGGCCGCCTCCAGCTTTCCCTCCCACCCATTCTCTGAACAGCTTTTCCAGGCACCCTGGAGGGTGGCTTTCTAGCAAGTTCCACTGCTACAGCACCATAGCCGTTTTGGTGAGCCAGTCCTTTCCAGTGGGTCTGGACTTGAGCATCCGCCCTCAGCCCCAGGGTAGGGCACACCTCACTCTGCCCTCAGCCCCAGGGTGGGGCCACCTCACTCCGCCCTCAGCCCCAGGGTGGGGTGTGCCTTACATTGTTTCTGTTTACCCCTGAGCAAGGGATCCAGCCACTTGTTTTTTTGTTTTTGTTTTGTGAAATAAGGTCTTGGTATATATAGTAGGTCAGACTGGCCTTAAACTCACCATGTAGCTGAGGCTAAGTGCTGGGGTTGTAGGCGTGCACCACCAGGCTTCCAGGCCTCCTTAATTCCCAGGTGGACTAGAACTTGCCGTCCTACTACAGCCTTCCAGAGTGCTGGGATACAGGTATGCACCCAGTTTCCTTTTACTTACTTATTCATGTATTTAGTACAGGGTCTCACTACAGATTGGATTTGTACTGATCCTCCTGTTTTCAGCCTCCCAAGTGCTGGGATTATAGGCACGTGCCACCATGCCCAGTCTCAATGGCTGTCTCAGCATGCCCTGGGGGTGGGGCTGGGGCTGGGGGCAGGGGCAGCTCTGGCAGGCAGGCTAGGGATCAAACCCCTGTTCCCTGAGTCTCCTGAACCAGGTGTTTTAATCCATTGAGCTATCTAGCTGGCCCTTCCTTCTTTGCTAATACCTCGTTACTCTAACCTCTACTAAAATGAGTAATCTTTTTTTAATGATTATTTATTTATTTATTTATTTATTTATTTATTTGGTACAGGGTCTTGCTACATAGCTCGCACTCGTAGTGATTGCTATCTCAGTCTCCCTGGCACTGAGATTACAAGCGCATGCCTCTCGTGGCCAGCACGGTATGTGGTACAAAGGATGAAACCCAGGTCCTTATGCTTGCCAGGCATGCGCTTGACCACCAAGCTATCTTACTAGCCCAAATATGAGTAATTCTTTAGACCAAGCTTTCTTAATTACTGTTCAGTGTTTTCCTAATTGAACTCAGTGATAGAAAAGGAGGGTAAAATACACATCTGTACATTTGAACAAGAGAAGTGAACTATAAACCAAAACTGGTGGTTGTTGACCAAGAGGCATGAGTAGAAAGAAGAGTGAATAGGAACAAAGAGCTTGGTACTTCGGGCTCTTAGAACCTGAGTGGTGTTTCACACACCTTCCACATACCCTGACACTAATCAGACAAAACCAAGCAGGACGTGTGTAGGGGAACTGAAAGTGCAATACAAAAACTAGTACGTGAGGGGTAGGGCTGTAGGGCAGAAGGAGTGTGTAGTCCCTGCTTCCATGGGGCAGGAAAGGAGCAGCTAGCCTGGCTGTAAGCATGCCTTAGTAGTAATGTTGTAACACTGGAGAATAAATTCTGTGTAAGCTGCTATTCTCATAGGAGATAGATTAGCATTTGTGCAACTGCTTTTATGTGTTTACTAGAATCAAACAAGGGTGCCAGTCATATGAGAGCTAGGTTTATCATTTTTGGAGAAAGAAGTTATAAACAAGGAAAGGTTGAAGGCTTCGGTTGTTAAGTCTGTGGTTTTTAGTTTGAGATAATAAATCCCAGTGGTCAGTGTGGCCCACACTTGTAATCCCAGCACTGGGAGGCTGAAGCAGGAGGCTCTCTGCAAATTTGAGACCAGCCTTGGCTTCAAAGTGAGTTCAAGGCCAGCCTAAACTGCATAATGAGACAAAAAAAAAAAAAGAAAAGAAAACAGAAAAAAATCAAAATAAACTCATGGTTTAAAATGTATAATAAAAATACAGTTACTTGCACGTACAGGAGCTAGTATACATGTGTGTCTCCTGCCTTCTTTCTTGGCTCAGAGATGTAGGAGCAGTGGCCACAATAATGAAAATGCCTAGTTCTCCAGTAAAGGAACTAGTTAACTCCAGATTCAAATTAGGAAAAATATAGGATGAACCTTGGGTATTTTGTGGTTGAAAAAGTAAGAAAATGCTCAAAAAATAATAAAAAAGATGGAGGGAGGGCTGCTGAATGTACAGAAGCCACCCTGAAGGAATTGCCGATGACCAAAGCTGGAACGGTTTAAACAACAAAGTTTTGATGGCTTTAGTTTTTATTTAACCCATAGGATAAATGTGTACTAATGTAAGAATGAGTTGATACTAATATAAATGATCAAATAAGTGGGTAGAGTTAGGTTTTCCTCATAATGCAGTTCCTATGAATGAATGGAGGAGGAGGGCGCTAGAGTCATTGTGGGCATATACCCAAGTAACGTAACATTGAGGGCAAAATTCTGGTGTGAAAAGTTGGAGGAGAAACAAGGTTTGCTTTGTTCAGTGTTCTCTCCTCCACAGCATTTTTCAGGAGATTTTTTTTTTTTTTTTTTTTTTTTTTTTTTTTTTTTTGCTGGCTCAGGATGCCTTAAGGGCAGGTCTGGTAAGGCGTGAGGATCTGGGGATTGAACCACAGAATCCTGAGCCTGACTGCTTTGCTTAAGGAGGCATTTAAACAACTGAGCTAATGGGCAGGCCTCCCTTTTTCAAGTTCAGATAAAAGAAAGTCTGTTTTAGCAGAAAAGCATGGTGGACAGGAACTTAACTGAGGTAACATATCACACCTCATGGACCTCTCAAAATGGTACACCGAGAAAGAAATCATTCTTGGGGTGTCCTTGCCAGAAAGGCCTCGTTGGCCCCAGTCATGAGAAAACAATAAAACCCAAGTTAAAGGACATTCTACAAGTTGATGGGAGCTCTTTAAGTGTCAAGAACGTGAAAGACAGCCTGGGAACAGGCCGACTGTAGGGTACAGAGAAAAAATAAGCTAAAGATAAAGGCATTAAATTAAAAATTGTGTAAAATTATTGTAATATTAATGCTGTTCTTCATCTGTGTGATCATATAGGATATTAATGTAAGGAAAAACACATATAACTTTGTATTACTTTTGCCATTTTAATTCTACAATTGGTCTAAAATAGGAAGTTAGATACTAAAGATGCTTTGAAGCCCCAGGAAAGAATGTTGAACTTTGATTTTTCATGTACCTTGAACAGGGCTAGAAAAAGGTTCTTGGAACATCGAGAAGAAACCATAACAATAGATCGTGCCTGCAGGCAAGAAACGTTTGCTTATGAGATGGTAAGAGTCACATCTTTCATCTTTCACCTTTGACCTTTGTTCCCAGGAGAGTAAGCTGTTACTGGCTGAGTGATAATTTCATGGCAACTTTATATTGTGCTCAGTTGAAAAAGAAAACTCCCCTGGGACTGGGAGCTGGGTAGAGCGAAGGTCCCACAGAGCTTCAGGCTCTGTGGATTTGACTCATCTCTGCCTTAGTTTTGGTTTTAGTTTGATTTCGCCCTCTCAGTCATAGGCTTTTTGGCCACCCTTTTCCTGGTCTTTTTATTGGCAAATTTAGCTCTCTCTATATAAGATAATCATCATCAAAGGGATTTTGCACCTGTATGTGTTTGTTCTGCTTTTGATTTTATTTTCACTGTGTGTGGGGGGGGGATAGTACTAGGAATCCAACTTAGGGTGCCCCACCCCTGAGCTGCACCAGCTGCTGTCCTCTTTTCATCCCCCTCAGCCTCCCTGCAACAGTCTGGGGTCACAGGGTGGACCACCATACCCACCATTTGGCTACATCCTAAATTCTGATTCATTACTTCTTGTTGTAAAACCCTAAGAAAAATTTAATATGCATATTGTGTTGGTTACTTTTCTCTCATTGTTGAGATAAAATACCTCATGCCCAGAATTAAGGTTTATTTAGCTCACAATTTACGGAGGTTTCAGTCCATACTTGGCTGGCTCCAAGGCAGTTGTGGCACGTGGTAGAGGAAGGCAGCAAAAGCAGCAAGAGCAAAAGTGGGGAGCAGCGTCAGAGAGCCAGCCTCTCCCTTCCCTACACTGTATGCAGGTGGTCTGCCCCAGGGCGGGTGCAGCGCTCACACCCACAATCCCAGCATTGGACCAAAAATCAATCAGAAAGTCTAGAAACCCACCCAGTCACTGCACGAGGCTTTGGGGGGACTGCTAGGCACAAGCCACATCAGATACTGAGTAATTAGGGGCTACTAGGTGTAATGGAGTCACAGGGTACTGCCTATCAAATTCTGGCAGGCACTTGACAGTATACAAGCTTGGTGTTATCTCACCTCTCCCATTTCCTCGTTGTGGTTGAGTTTACACTATATAAAATTATATTAACCACTTTAAAGTGTTTAGTCAAGTACATCACAATGCTGTTCAAACGTCACCACTCTTTCTAGACGTTTCTTCATCTCAAAGAAATTTATACCTACTAAGCAATAGTTCTAATTGCCATAGCCTCTGGCAGTGTGTATTTTACTTCCTCTTTCTATGAATTTGCCTATTCTGTTTTTTTTTCTTAGAAGTACATGTTTGCCGTACACAGTAGTTACAGTCATCATCAGTCAGTGTGTGTACAGAACACATCTGAGATCTTTTGTGTGTGTGTGTGGTACTGGGGATTGAACTCAGGACCCTGCGCTTGCCAGGCAGGCACTTGCTCTACTGAGCTATCTCCCGGCCCCACATCTGAGGTCTTTCATTATCTCCTTTCTTTTCCTTCTCTGTCCCCTCCTGTCACCTCTTGGTTCCTTCCCTTTTGCAAAAGATCTGACTCCGTATGTCCTGTGGCATACCTTTTATTTCATTCTTTATACTCTGAGTTTCTTGTATAAGAGAAGCTATGAAGTGTTCATTGTCTCACTTAATAAAGTGCACATGGACTCAGTGTGCATCTGTTTTCTTACAAATGACTCATGTTGATCCTTCTTTATAGCAGAGTAGTTTTCCATTGTATATAAATACCACATTTCATCCTTTGATCTCCTGATGACATGTAGGCCACTTCCAAGATTTAGCTGTTATGAGTAGTGCTGCTGTAAACACAGGTATGCTTGTGTCAATGTACTGTGATGTCTTTAACTCTTTCAGAAGGAAACCTAGAAGAGAAATACAGGAATCAAATGAAATTTCTAGTTTTATGTTTTGAAGAATATCTGTATTGATTTTTGCAGTGGTTGTACTAGTTTTATAGAATCCTAACAATGTAGAAGGGTTTCTTTTTCCCTACACCCTCACCAGCGTTTATGATTAGAGTTCTTGATGATAGCCACTCTTTCTGAAGAAAATCTCAGTGTTTTTTTTTATTTTTTTATCTTTTTGTGCCTGGCTCAGCCCTGGTGGGGCTGGCACACATGTGGTGCCAGGGATTGAACCATGATCCCTGCGCTTTGCCTAAGCTTGCCTAAGCAGGCGCTTTAGACTGCTGAGCTATCTTGCCGGCCCTCAGGGTTGTTTTAATTTGTATGCGATGTTGAACATTTTTTAATGGTTTTATTTGCCACTTGTACCTCTGAGAAGTGTCAGTTCGTTTCAGTTGGCCCATTTTTGATTGGGTCTTTTTTATTTTCAGGGGATCATATTTTTTTGAGTTCTTTATATATTCTATGTATTATTAGTGCTCTAAAGCTTAGCAGGCAAATGTTTCTTCCCCATTCTATATGTTGGGTCTTCACTTTGTTGGTTGTTTTCTTTGCTGCTCAGCTTTTTACTTTGATATCTCATTTGTTGATGCTCTTTCTTGTGCAGTTGCGATAATGTTCAGAAAATCTTTGCCTATGGCTATGTCTGTTAAGAGTTCTATATGTTTTATATTCCAGTGCATTAACTGTTTCTGTTTAACTATTTAGATCTCCAATGGATTTTGATTTTGTTTTAGTAAGTGCTGAGAGCTGTGGGCCTAGAGTCAGTCTTCTCTGTGTGTACATAGCCAATTTTTTAAGCACCATTGTTAAAGGGAATCTTTCTTTCCTCCAGTGTTTCCCTTGACAAAGAGCAAATGGCTTGAATGTACCTAGGGTTGTTTTTCCATCCTCTGGTTTGGTCCATTGATCCATGTGGCTGTTTTTGTACCAATACTATGCTGTTTTTATCATTGTAGCTTTGTAATATAATGTGAAATCCAGAATTGTGCTGCGTCCTGCTCTGCTCATGTTGCCTAGGATTGCTGTTGCTATTCTGAGTCTCCTTTTGTTCCGTATAAATTTGAGAGTTGTTTTTTCTATTTCTGTGCTGTTGATGTTTTGATTGGGATTAGTACGTAGGTTATTTTTAAATCTATGTATTAGTTTTTGAAGTATGGCCATTTTGACAGTAGTGATTGTCCAGGAACAGGAGCTGTCATTCCACTTATTTCTGGTACCACAAACAAACATCCAGTAAATTGGAGAAGCCAAAAGAAGTGGATCAATTCCTAGATGTGTATGAACTACCAAAACCGAATCAAAAATATAAAAAAAAACTGAAAAATCCATCACAAGCAGTAAAACTGAAGGGGTAATAAAAAAAAAAACTAACAACTACTCACAACTTAATTCAACTACAAAAAGCCCAGCTCTTCCTTCCTTCTTTCTTTTCTTTCTGTCTTTCTTTCGTTGTCCTGTATTTAGAATCCCAGGGTCTCACTACCAAGATCGGACTCGTAGTGATTCTCCTGTTTTCAGCTTCCCAGGTGCTGGGATTACAGGGGCGTCCCACCACGCTCAGTCTCAGTCACCATCTCGGCGCGCCCCACAGGTGGGGCCAGCTCATTCCATTTTCTGATGTCCTCTTTGATTTCCTTTTTCAGAGCACTAGTGTTGATATAGAGGTTTTGTACTTTTTAGGTTAATTCCTAAGTATTTAATTGTTCTTGAAAGGTACTGTGAATGGTATTCTTTTTCTAATTTCATTCCCAGTGGATTCATTATTAGTATATGGGAACACTACTGATATTTGTATGTTGATTTTGTATCCTGCTACCTTGCTGAATTTATTATTTCTAGAATTTTTTGGCCTTTTGTGTAAAGGATCATATTGTCTAAAAACAAGGATAGTTTGACTTTTTCTTTTCCTTATCATATCTCATTTATGTCTTCCTCTTGCCTGATTGCTGTGGCTGACTTAAATACTATCCGGAACAGAAGCAGTGAAAGTGGATGTCTGTCTTGTTCCTGATTTTAGAGACAAGGTTTTGCTTGTTATCATTAATAGAATGTTGGCAGTAGGTTTATCATAAATTGCTTTTATCAGATTGAGATATACGTCTTTCTGTACCTGTTTTTGTCTTTTTTTAATCATCAGTGAATGTTGAATTTTGTCAAAGCTTCTTTTTTTTTTTTTTTTTTTT